GCAGTCAGCTTTCTAAGTTGTATTTTCTCAACAATTTCAATTGTACAGAGGCTAAATTTAGCTTCAGATTAGGGTTTTAATTTTTCTTTTTCCTCGTATTCTCAGATCAGAACTTGTTTTTCTAGGTTGCTATTATTTAAAATGAGATGTATTGGTCGTGTGGGTCTTTTTTGTACTGGAATATGTAAAGGGCTGTTTAATGTATAATGATCATAGAATGATTAATGGATTATAGGTAGAAAAGACTACAAGCTCCTGCATTCATAAATATTTCATGTTTTTTTCCCCATGTAATAGAATTTAGATTTCTAATGGCAATCATTAATTGACTCTCATTTGTGTACGTAATGGATTTTTTCAGACTACTTCAAGGCGCCTTGCTGACAGAAAAACTGAAAAATTCCAGAAGAATATTACAAAGAGGGGCTCAGTACCTGAGACAACAGTGAAGAAGGGAAATGGCTATCCAGTTGGCCCTGTAGTGCTTGGGTTCTTTATCTTTGTGGTCATTGGATCATGTAAGTTATCCTAATCTCATATAATTGATGCTTTGACTTTTGACCTTTTGCCTATAGCCGCTAGTGAGACTTTTTCTTTTCTTACAGTTGTAGTTTACGCTGTCTTCCCTTGCTTGTTTATTCTTCTATTTGATGTTAATGAAGACTGATTTGCATGAGACAGAATAAATGTGGTCAACCTGTGTATTCTTGTATTAATAATATTCATGGTAAATCGTCAAATTCCTAAATCTAGCTGATCTGGGATCTAGATAATATTCATGACATCGAATTAGAAAACATCAACATGTGACTACAATCTTTATCCTTTCATCTTTTTTTCCCACTCCAGATTTGCCATATGACAACTTTGCGAGTTGTGCATTCTGAAACTAACTGCTACATGTGTTTTCAGACTGCTGATATGTTTTTTTTTTTTTTTCTTTACTGGTTTGGCAGCTTTGTTTCAGATAATTAGGACAGCCACAAGTGGTGGGATGGCGTGAAGCCTCCATGGTGACGAATAATACGCCTCAGTCGAGAATGCAATGGTTTGATCTGCTCCCAAAAAGAGCGAAATATGATATACTTGAGATCTTAATTTGAGAATCGAATATTGGTATCGGATAATGATGATATTTTCAATGACCTTGTTGATTCCTGATTGGTAATTCCGGATTGGATAATAATACTCATATTGTGTCCTGTCTCTTTTTATCTTTGCTATCTTATACATAAGACAGCTTTTGAAATTGGACCGTTCATCCTCACAATGCGTTGGCATTGTTTCAGGTGGTGGTTTACAGAACCTGAGGTTGAATCCTCCTACATTCGTCAAGAGCCGGCTGCATGAGTAGCTTCGTTCTTCTGTTGTCGGGCTTTGTTTGGTGGACAATGCATTTGAACGGTGAATGGGTTTGCTCATTCAATATCTTTGACCAAACAACCCAGGAAATCAATCTTTCCAAAGAATTCGCTATTACACCGAGTCAAACAGGACGGGTTAAAGATGGGTTCAACAAAACCCGCCCCTGCTGCAATCTCGGCTCCATTGGTTGTCTGAACCAATGGATCGGTTTAAGACTCTAGTGGCTTGTGGATGGGTTAAATCAAACATAATAGACTACTGTTGCGGAGGGTTTTCACATGGAATGAATGGTGCAAGACACATTTGCTCGAACGTGGCCTCTCTTACTGTTGGTATGGTCACAGTCATATAGCTTCCCCTTCCTAAGGTGCGTTATCACCGATCCGAGAGATCCCATCCCACCTAGTTAGAAACCACTCGTACGAATAATGCACGAGCACCATATCTTGTTTTCACCCATACATACATCTCGTTGTACTAGAAAAATTTTAGGCACATGAGACAACGAGCAGAGTCAATGATCAGTAGTAAGTATTCGAGACAAGAAAATTATATAGATGCTAATTAATTAACTAACAATAATAATATAAAGGCTGAGGAATTATTTCCTTTTTTTTTCTCAAATAGATAAAATGTCGATAGAGACTTGGTGGTAGAAACAGTACTGCATGAATGGAACACTTGGGGGACTTCTCCTCTACGTGCTCCAGGAATCCAACGGCCATGATCAGGACACGTCGACTGGCTTACACAGGAATAGCAACGACGCCGGCCGCTGCTGCCTCCCGCCCAGCCGCTCGTAGCAGTCGATGGAGAAGAGCGAGAGGGAGAGGGAGAGGGAGAGGTGGTGAGCCGCCGCCGCCTCCGCCGTCGTCGTCGTCGATCCCCGTCCCCCTGCCGAGCCGGCGAGCCGGTCCAGGGCCGGCCCGATGCAGAGCCGGTAGAGCCGGCGGTACCCTCCGAGGGCGGCCACCACGGACCGCGTGCTGCAGCCGCCACCGGCCGCGCTGCTCCCACCTCCAGCCACGTGGCGGTGGCACACGGCCTCCCACACGCTGTCCCGGCGGCCGACGGCGTTCCAGAGGCGGCACACGCACCCGGCCACCGCCAGGGACCGGCCGTCCAGGCGGCCCAGTATCTCCGCCAGCAGGTCGACGTTGTCGTTGACGGAGAACGCCCTCCGCCTCCCCTTTGCCTCTTCTTCCTCCTCCTCCTCTTGCTCTTCCTCCTCTTCTTCTCTCGTGAGCATAACGACTGTTTTCTTCTTCCTTCCCTTGTGGAAGAGGAGGAGAAATAGAAGCGAAAGCAACGAGTCTTATATATAAGTGGGAGGGAAGGGAAGGGAGAGAAAGAGTGTGGTGGAGGTTTTGACTTGTAGAAGAAGATGAATGAATACACAACATGCATATAGTAAGGATACGTTGGAATGAGCAATATATGATAAAGAATACGATGAGGAAAGTGTTGTGAGCATTTATGGTGGGAAGGGAAGGGGAAGGGGAAGGGAAGGGAAGGGAGAGGGAAGGCATCTTCGGGGACGAGGAGATGGGGCCAACCAAGCAGGCCAAGAAGAGCTTGGAGATGCGTAAAGGAGACCTTTTTTATGGTGTTTCTTTTCTTCTTTCTCCTCCTTGTGAAGGGTGGTGGGATGAATAAAGAAGAGTTTGATGGGAAAAAGGTTGTCTTGTTCTTAGTTGTGTAGTGATGCGGGTGGATGATGATGATGATCCAATTGGTGGTGGTGGTATCGATTTGGTCCATCGGTTGTCGGGTTCAGGATTTTGCCTTGCTTTTGTTGCTTTAATGACTCGGGGCAATATTTTAGATTGCTATATAATATAATGTGCGTAGGAGGGCTTGTCTAGCCATGCAAATAAGCACAGCTCGTGATCATATCACTAACACCTACTGAAAATTTTATGGAATCGACCCAAGTCATGATCGTTCATCACAAGTACTCCAAATTATTAGTGTATTGGTAGTTGCCATGTAGCTCTCGTTGACACCAAATACGGAAAGCTTTTCCACGTCACATGTGATCCATCCGTTCCTTTTTAGGGCATCTAATAATATCTTTCGTGTCTTATCAATACTATTTACTTAAAGATCGAGATCGGATGATGTCTCTATCAACAAAGAGAGATCGGGGTCATTGAACATCATCAATATCGTATCAAGGTATCCGTCAAGGTGGAAGTGTCGAGAGCTGATGTACTATGGGTTGAAGATAGAGCATCATCGTTAAAATGGTCGTTAAGTGAATAAGCTTGATAGTATTCTTGTACCACGAGACTGTACAATATATGTCAGTAATATTCATATCAACTTGATTTGGTTCGAACTCATATATACAAGAAATCTAGGTGGAGCTAAAAGAGGGTCTCGGAAGCTTGATCAAATACTATCATATACAAAGATCAAGATCGAGTGAAAATTTTGATGTAATCCTTTAGTACTATAGTAAACCCGAAAATAAAAAAATTTAAGTAAACAATAATCGACCTCGATAAGATGAATATTTTACGGAGATTTTTTTTTTATTGATTATGTTATCATGGGTCGAGTCACGATTGAATATATATATTTCCCCCTTAAAGATCGGAATTTCGATGTAAAAAGTAATCACCATTTCTTCAATTGGGAACGAACAAAGTGATCAAAGCAACGGATGCGTTATCGAGCGAGTCACTTGCATCGATCAACGATGCCATGACGAGGAAGGAGACAGAGGCTCGATGGGTTGGGAAGAGCGAGCCGGAGATGGGACATGGAATTCGACGCGAAGCAGAGCAAAGCCGCTGCCTCACGTGGATTCCTCCTCCGCCCTCTCACCCAAGCACGCACTCGAACCAATCCGAGTTGGATGTTTGCTTGGGAGATACCACCGCTGGACTTGTACCCGACCCGATAATTAGAGACGTTGTGTTTTACCTCTCTCTCTCTCTCTCTCTCTTTCTCCAACGCGCTTCGTCCCCTCCCTGCGACCTGCGACCTGCGCTTCCCCCACATCCCAAGTACTACTGCCCCAGCTCTCACCCTCGCCATGGCAGGTCGCCTGCTGCTCGGCAAGCACAGTAACCAGGGAGCCTAGTTGTCGTTTCCCTCATCCCCGCCTCGTGAGTAGCAGACCCACCGCTGCTCATGATCTGAGCTCGATGTTGTGCTGCGACGCGAGCCTACACGGAGATGCTCTTTCTGAGCTCTTCTCAGCTGAACCAGCCTACTCCAGCGAGGAGACGACACACACACACACTCTCTGTCTCTCTCTCTCCCCCACCTGACACAGCAGAGCAGACCCAACCAAAACACACACACACTCTCTCTCTCTCTCCCACCTGACACAGCAGAGCAGACCCAACCAACAACACGGGGCATGCTGGACATGTGAAATGAACCTTCAAACAACCGAAAACACATTCCTTTTAGCAGGGCTTGACATGCACCCGAGAAGCTTTTGGACATGGGAAGCTAATGCCTAAAACAAACCATCGAAACAAAGTCCATCCCTAAAAGCCACATGTTCCCAACCATGGGACACACACAATGAACATTCTTGTCATGGTAAGCAGACAGATTCGCCGAGGCACAAGGGGAGAAAGGGAGTAGTCCAAAGGCTCACGTGACCACCTCCTCCGTACCCGCTGGAATCACTGCCAAAATATTAATTTCGTGGAGCATAAGTCAACAACAGGCCCCTAAAATGGTGCTTGTAGAACAAGGTGGGTCAACAGCGCCCTGACATGCCCAGGCCACGGAGTCCCACCCACCCATGCAGTCCTCCCCACAGTGAGTCCATCATATAAATCGACCGAGACGTAGCCGAGAAGGTCGCAGGTCCCATTATTGCCCTTCCAAAACCTCGGTAAGACACAAGCCGGAGCAGCCCAAGGTGGCGTTGGCGTCTTGTACCTGGCTGGCTGCACAGTGCTCACAAGAAAGCAATGGAACAAACAAACAAAAAGATGGAGATCGGAGGAGTTGAGGCGTGGGTGGGTGTCGCCACCAGAGAAAAAGAAACTATACATATATACATATATAATGGATTCTTTGAGGGGGAAGGATGCAACAAGACAAGCACGGAAATACATGGAGAAAAGGGCCGAGGGGGTGAGGCATCCAAAGAGGACCCCCAACTACTCTCTCTCTCTCTCTCTCTCTCTCTATAGAGTCATTGAGGCTTTAACTGCTGAGGGTTTTTAGCTGGGAATGGCAGGCAGGATGTGCTTGCACCTGAGCCCTCGGCTCCAAGTCCTGAGCCATTTTGCCTGTCCTCTTACTGTGAGGGAGGTGAGGGTTTGGTTGGGTGCCTTTGTTTTTATGCCTGCTTGACCATTGGTTGGGATCATCTTCTGTGTGTTAGGTCAACAAGATCCCATGCTTAATATCGGTAACCTATACGTTTAAGGCCTTATTGATCTCATGGGGTGGCTCATCTATTTGGGACCAATGATGCATTGTGGTGGTTTCGAGGACCACATGACACATATGACATGAAACATTCTCCAAAGAGTACGATATGAGATGGACACAACAAATGCTTGCATTTAAACTCTGGTGATTTATGCTTCAAAATTATATTACCTGACTCCACGAAGCTACTGCAGCTTTGTTCTCCTTCATTTATCCTTCAGAATGGTTTTCATTCTTTTGCTGCGTCCACTTGAGTAATGTGCAGCTAAAAACTCTGCCTTTCCATGATCCTGTAAGCAGAGTTAATAGGCCAACAACTGAAACAAGTGCAGTTTTCCTTACCACGCTGACCTACATGTGAGTTCTGATCACACCTTGTTTCTTATCACAGGCCAACAGAGGAACGCCAATCAAATCTAACGCCATACTGCTGCGGCCTGGTGTCATCGAGAACTTACCCTCTTCTGTTCACTACCACATGCAAAGATTAGAAGCTCAGTAGTGAGTTGCCAGAATTATAAAATAACATGATATCAAAATGGAGAAGAAGGAAACAAACCAAAACCAAAACACAACAGAAGAAAGAAACCTCATGTTGGTATCACCAGCTTGATCTCCACAGCTAACACCTGCTGTAACAAAAGAAACCTCCAGTTGGTATCATAAGCTTGATCTCCACAACTACACCTGCTGGAACATCAACCAGAATCATCAATTGATTGCAAGCTCTTCAGGCATTCATATGCCTAGAGACCTCATAGATTCATCAATAGGAGAGTACAAGAGATCCCAATCGTTGAGGTATTTGAATACTACACTGAAGCCATAGAGAAGAGGTGAGGAAAGGAAGAACATTTTGCCTCCAGAACAACTTTTACTGCATCTTAGCACTTGGTTGACAACCCAAAGGAGACTGTCATGGGCCAGATGCGGATCAAACAAATTCCAGATCCCACGGCAGGATAGAAAACCCAAATGAACTAGTATATTTAAATTCGCCAGGAAGCTTTCACCAAAAGTAAATAAAAGCGCCCAGTAGTACATCTTATTATAAGTCTAGCAACAATCATATAATGTTCTCCAATTTATTCTTTAGCAGAAAAAGACCTGATGATTCAAGTCATCAAAAGATTTGCCCAACACCTAATGTAAGAGCTCTCTAAACATCTATTAGGAGACATGCTGAATAGATTAATGTTTGTCCATTAACCCAATATTTTTAATTCTCATAATCTTCAGTGCATAAAGAGGTGTGAACATTCTTTTTCAATCTAGTTAGGCTTGCTCTTTTGCTGCTGCACCATCCTCATCTTGACTAGGTCTGATGAACTCCAACAATATTCTAGCCAAATGAAATTGGTGTGATATGAATCTGTGGTCAGCACCTTCTATGATGTGCAGCTTATGGTTCATGATCAACTTATCAAATTTTGAGGCATCTTCTGGTGGCACAATATCATCCTCTGAACCATGAACTGTCAAGACCCTGCAATTCTTGTCAATTGATAAACATGCAGTATGCATATCAGTGGTTAGGCGATCAATCAGACTTTGTTCAGTCACCCGATAGGCTAATTTTCCCATCTTGTCTATCACGTCGATGAATCCATCCCTTTTCATTCTTTCCATAAAATCCTTCCCTAGACGGTCATCAATGCCTCTCTCCAAAGTAAAACGGCCGGATATATTAACAACAGTAGAAATATCATGAAACTTAGAAGCATATAAAAGAACCACATTTCCCCCTTTGCTGTGCCCAACGATGGCATGCACTCCACGATTCTGCCTTGAGAAATATTGAATTATGGCCCGCAAGTCTTCGACCTCTCTCCAATAATTACCATATTGAAATGAACCATCACTATCCCCATTCCCAGCAAAATCAAACCTAAAGACACTGACATTCTCAGATACAAGTACATCAGCAAGGTTCATAATAGTTTTGCTTTCTTTAGAGGATCGAAATCCATGGCATAATACCACAAGCTCCCAAGAACCAGCTTCATGTAAAATTCCAACAAGATTCTCTCCATGAGTGTTTCTGATTACTACCTTCTGTTGAGATGCACTGGAAACTTCAATTTGGCTTGAAGAAATTTGTATTATCGGCCTTTTAAGAAAGCCTGCTGATTCACCACTAAAGATAAACTGCATTCAAGATGTTGAGTGTAAGTATTACCTAAAGGTCCTGACCAAATTTGATACTTAACCTACAAGTTCTGTACATGGAATAATCAATAATATAGCAAAATCTTACTCTCCAAAGACTTAAACAAAACCATAAGCATAAATCAAATGGATCTCAAGGATGATATGAACAATGTCCAGATGACAAATGAAGGCTTTTCTGTAGCTTAGGAAGCTTCCGCTTAAGTACTAAGACTTCACAAAAGCCTCAAAAGAAAAGATATAGTAAGCTCATAGAGTTCAGATGGCATGCAACATCTCTGTTGAGCATGCAACAATAAAATCGACCATTGCTTTACTAAATAAAACAAAGACCACACGGTAGCAAACATCAATTTATTACTGTTCAAGTGATGTGATGTGTACCAACATAGCTTGGTACAGTAGATTTATACCATCAATTTACAGCAAACATCAATTTATACCATGGAGACCATGGACTTACCATGCAAGACATTGACTAGTGCTACTGAAATAGACTACTCATTAATGGACATAGACTAAGGAGAATGTCATGACCTCTTATGAGTATCTACAATACCACAACGAGCTTAAAAGTTGTGCTCCAAAGGACTGCTTTTACTCATTAAGAGTCTTCCAAATGAACATGGCTAAGTTAATGAAAACTTACATATTCTTTTGTGCTTAACACTTTTCTTTAGTATAGAAAGATATGATAAATGAGCTTAAACTGTCATCGGTGAGGACAATATTCCTATTGTCCAATAGCCTTATATATTAACTCTTTGCTTGCAGGGGTTGTTTCGCTAAAAAGTTGACTAGAGAATATCAAATCAAAGCTTGGTAATAAAATTTATCACGTGTTACAGATAGTTTTCTGGCTGAAGAGTCGTGCACATAGCGTACCTTGTATGGCTTGAATTTGATGATGACAGTAATTGGAAATACTGGTGCAGAGTTCCAGAATATTTTTAGTGGTTTGAAAATTTGTGTACTATTTGCTATCCTTCTAAAATAAATAATCTCTCTAGCATCCTTTTCCCTGTTGTAAAAGATCTAGATCCTTTCCACCGTGAAGGCTCGAGAAACTTGAAATGAGAAGATTCCACTTACTGCATATGTTGGATCTCTAAAGCAAAAAAATCTACTTCAATCGAGTAACAAATACATCTACATCCCATATGCGGAATTGACTAACTCGAACACCGTTGTTAATCGTTCAAATGAACAAAGACTGCCTTTGATTGTGAAATCCTTTTTGTTCCTTATGTGAAATGGCTTGCCAGTAATACTAGCTATCCTCGTCGTTCGATGGATATAGCTAAAGCTAAATCTACGAAGAAAAAGCATACGGCAGAACCAACCAGACAGTACAAGTAACAAATCAGACTCTGAAGCGAATGTAGCAGTACCGGAAATTAAGGGAGAATATTACAGTTCCATTCTAGGGAAAGAAAGACCAAGAATCGAGTACCTTGTCGGCATCGGCGTTAACATCGAGAGGAATTGCAGCAACCGCAGGTATCTCATCGACCTTAGAGAGAAGAACAGAATCACATCCAACGCAACCAACTGAGCTTCCTTACGAAGAACAGGAGGAAAGTCGAAGTACCTCCGTCGCGTCTAGGGTTTGCTCGGAACGAAAGGCCTTCCCGGCGGCCACGGGGGCGCGGGAGCGCAGGGAGGCGGGAGGGCTCGAGCATCGGAGAGCGGAGGAGAGGGATTGAGGCTTGGCAGAGAGGGAGAAGGCGTAGTTGGAGGGAGGGGGCAGGGCGACCGTCGCGGGGAGCGAGGAAGGGGCAACCATGGCTCCACCCAGGCATCGTGGGTCGCTGTCCCATAATATCCGACACGTCGCGTGCCCTGCGCGTGACTTGAAACGGTCTTTATTTTTTTTTTCTTAAATGGTATATCTTTGAATTACAATCATGCATTTATTATTTGTAAATAATACATAATAATTAAAAGTATCAAATGGTCTCTCATGTATGTCACTTTATATATATATATATATATATATATATATATAATAAATTTAATCCATAATTCGATAAATTTAAGTTTTTAGATTAAATTGATATCCAATTAGACTGACAAAAGAAACCGATTTATGGAAGACCACAAATACATGAACACAATGCTTCAAAGTAGCACACTTACTTGAGGCAGTGGAACCTTTCTGTAGTGGATACAAAAATACGAAAAGGAGATAATATGAACAGCTTTGTTGCATCCAGTGCTCATGTGTGCCGATTGAAGTCATCGTATCACCTTATGGAGAAGACGAAGGAAGGAATCATTCACCACCCTTTGTGCCCAAGAATCAAGTAGGTCTCCGTATTTTGCCTAGGCATCATCAAGCTTTAACTCCTTTCTTCTCGTCTTCTTGCTTGTTCCGTGGATTTGTGTTGCTTCCTTTGTTGAAGACTTGCTCCATCTCTTCCTCCAGGGCCCTCCCTTTTGTCTCAGGACAGCAAAAGAAGTAGAAGGCCCATGCTACGACCCCGATGCCCGCAAGGAGGAAGAAGGCACCGCCGATGGTTATGGCCTTGTAGAGTGAGATGAAGGACATGGACATGGCGGAATTCATCAGCCTGTTGATTGCCACGCCCAAGCTGGTTCCTTGTGCCCTCAGCCTCAGAGGAAAGATCTCAGAGCAGTAGACCCAGGTTACGGGGCCGAGCCCAATGGAGAAGGAGGTGACGAAGGAGAACACAAACACCACACACGATACCTGCGCCCAAAGTAGCTTCTCCTGTGAGTGCCTCGCCAGCGTCATGACAGTCCCAAGCCCTGTGAGAGAGAGAATCATCCCGCTCAAGCTGGTGAGGAGCAGCTTCCTCCTGCCGGCCTTATCGACGAGGAGGATGGCCACGAAGATGAACAGTGTTTTGAAGACGCCGACGCCGATGGTGGCAAGAAATTGTTGGTTCTTGGTCACCAGGCCCGCCTTCTTGAAGATCCTCGGGCTGTAGAGGACGATGGCTTCGATCCCGGTGGCGTGCTGGAAGATGTGGATGCCGATGGTGGCCGTCAGGATGCGCCTCACGGTCGGCGTCGGTCGCAGCAGCTCCTTCCACACGCCTTCCCCGTGGTGCTTGCTCACAAGTTGCACCACGTCTTCGGTGGAGCTCCTGTCGATCCCCACGGTGGCCTTGATGTCCTCCAGCCGGCGCTCCGCCTCCTCCTTGGTGTTTGACACTCGTCGCAGCACGTCCCTCGCGTCCTTGATGCGGCCCTGCATGACCAGCCACCGCGGGGACTCCGGCATGGCGAAGATGCTGAAGGCCAGGGCAACGGAAGGGACCATGGCGACACCGAGCATCAAGCGCCAGCCGTAGATCAGCGGGAGCTTCCCGAAGATGTAGTTGGAGAGGTAGCCGAACAGGATGCCGAGGCTGATGCACATCTCCGGCAGGGAGCTGAGGCAGCCGCGGGAGGACGGGGAGGAGACCTCCACGGAGTAGACGGGGGCGATCATAAGGGCATATCCGACGCCGACGCCCGCGACGCACCTGCCTGCCATCAGCATGGCGAAGTTGAGCCCCAGGCTCATGAGGAGCGAACCGAGGAAGAAGATGGCGGCCGCGACGACGATGGTGTAGCGGCGGCCGATCCAGTCGGAGACCCTGCCAGCAGTCAGCGATCCTACCAAGGCGCAGGCGTTGAGGATCCCGGCGAGGACTTGGATTTGACCGTCGGTGGCCTTGAGGTCTTCTTGGATGAACAGCATGGCGCCGCTCATGACTCCTGTGTCTGCTCTCCAAAGCAGAAGGAAGGGACACGATGAGCAACGTAATCATACTGCATTTCGTGGCCAAAACGGAAACAATGAACTCACACCTACAGATGGATGAGCTCACCGTAACCCATCAAGACAGAGATGAAAGAAGCTATGAAGGAACAGGCAAAGGCATACTTGTTCCTTCCATCCTTCACCTTCTGATCCACCGTCGAGCCACTCTCTGCCATCTTCCTCCCACCAGTAGTACTATCTTCTCTAAACTCCTGTCTCTTTAATTAAGCTGCTTCAATGTCTGCACATAGGAATCTGACCTCATCTTTTATAGGCAAGTTTTCTACACTGATAATGTCTCACACTTGTTTGTGGCACTTTGAATCCTACAGCAAGCAGTATTACGATAAATTCGATATCCGTTTGGTCTGTTACCTGCGATCCCCTAAATCTCTCACTCTATGTTTCTTTGCAGAGCAATTTATCTGTGCTTCAGCTTAAAGTCCGGCAACGACAAGTCTGAGGTTTCTACTTTACGTGGAAGACAAAAGCATCTTGACCTGATTTCGAAAAACAAAAGAAGATTTTGACTTGGGTACCTCCGTGACACCGATGCAGTGCATGCAACACCATATCTCGACATGTTGCTGCTGAAGCCAACATTTCATGATCGACTGACACCGAAGACACGTACCGTCGGTCATCCTCGTCAAAACCTCTCTCTCTCTCTCAGCCCTCATGACGTGTTGAAGTTGCTAATAGCTGAAACAGGAGGAAGCCTGATCACACCACCTTCTCGATTTCGAACTGTAATGGCAAACACACACACAGGTCTGTGAACACAAAAGGGTTGAGTGGCTCGAGACTGCCGGAGTCAGCCAAGAAACTCAAGCAGAAAGAGAAGCTGGGCGTCCTTGCTTTAAAATCCGAGCCGTGAATAGTGGTCTTATCAGTCAAAAAGCTCTTTAAACTCATCAGCGCATCTGATGGGGGGCAAAAAAGGATGCGCCGCAGGAGGACGGAGGAAGAAGCGTTCCAGTAGCGGGTAAGTCTACTGAGTCTGCACTCAGCGACAGTAAGCTGTCGCCCCCTGTCATTATTTGGCCATGATGGTGATCAGGGGGCAATATTCCAGCTGACATTAACGACTGCTCTGCTGCATCAGTTTTGAATCGAACCGCAGGAGGCTCTGTCGTCGAAACGGGAAGAGCAATCTTTGATGCAATCCCTCCTCAAAAGAAGAGCGACTTACGACCTCGAATCCGACGGCCGGCCATCTGTACGCGTGGAAGTTCGCGTGCCACCACCTTGGAATTCCAAAATGGGTCCCGTCTGCACGAACCAATCTCGACTCTACGACGGAGATCAGACGGGTGCCGTCCGCTTCGGGGAAGGGAGCCGGACGACCGCGGCGTGGGTGGTGCGGTTCGTGCCTCCGTTGCAGTCGTGCCACCAACCACACCCTGACACGTGCACGATGAATCAAAACGCCCGCGGTCGATCGGGCCTTCTCGGTGTTGGGTGTGTTCGCGCGAGGAGCCGATCGACACGCCTCGTCGGGTCATTTGGCTTCCACCGCACTTTTCGCGCCACGGGTTTCGTGTGGAAGCTGTGAGGCGTACGGCCTCAGCGACGGTGTGCAGCGACGCGTACGTGAAAGAATGCGGAGAGCGGATAAGCAGCATCTCGAGTTGCAAACACGGTTCGCTGAGTACGAACCAAACCATGCTTTTTGTAATCCCAAGGAAGACTTGGGTTGGGTTTAAGAAGGGCTAATTATGGGTGAAAAGACGACCCGACAACTGTCTGCTTTGTATATTACTGCTTTAACAAAGTCGCAGCACTTTAATGCAAGAAACGGAGATAGATACAAAGTGGCAATTTAAAGATTACATGAATGATTTGAGCAAAGGATAATCCCATCTCACCAATTACAATTAGATGGGTCTAAGTACTCAAAGCGAGCGTCATGATGACTAATTATCTAATCGGGAAGTTGAGAGGTAGATGGCCATCCATGCGGACTAGAAATCACCTGTCTGTTCCGTCGCAGGCAACACATTTTTCCTCTCAGAGCAAAAGTCGCGGTTCCTGTGGGGTCCATGGTTTCGTTAGAGGGAAACTCGTGTTCCCTGCTCGAACGGAGACAGGCGTGCTCCGACTCTTCGGTCTCCGTTGGTGCTCCACATTAAACCAACTCCCACGCATAGAGAGAGGGGTTCAGCCAAGAAGAATAAAAGCCGCCCGGTTCTTCCTAGTTTTAAGACCGCAGAGCAGAGACTACGTGAGTTCTCGGAGCTCTCGACCGATGGCCAAGCGGCTGCGTCTCTGTTTGTCCCGCGTGCTCCCCTCCTTCCATGCCTTCCGCTCCAAGGACAACGGGGCCGCTTCTTCCTCCCTCAACTCCGACGACGGCTTCGACGTCGACTTCCATGATCACCAGCCTCCCCTCCCCCTCCCCCTGCCCCGCCGTCCCCATCCCCCGCTAGTCTCCTCCAGTTGTTGCCGCCCTTCCCGCCGCCGGTCGCGCCCCGCCAGAGAGAGCGTCTCTGACGTCCCCCGGCCCGCGCCGCTGCCCCCTCGGGAGACGCCGGCGTACCTCTGGCGGAAGGAGGAGAAGTGGTGGCACGTCGTGCCGTGCGTCAGCGCACACGTCTACGGCAATGTGCCGCTCATCCCTTCGCCCGAAGATCGACTCCGACGACGGTGGCGGGACAATCCCAACGATGGCCGCGCCGCTGCGACGGGACGCCGGAAAAAAGTGGCGTCCAGAAGGAGGGCTCTCTTGCGGCGCCGAGCGCGGGGCAGGTGTTACTCCTCGGCCGACGACGATAGTGGGTGGTTTAGCAGCGACGAGGAAACCGAAACGTTGATGTCGACGACAGACGTGGAGCCCTCGGACACCGTGCTGCGACGCCGCCGCCGTTGCCGGCGGAAGAGCGTCATCCGCGGCGACGGAAGGAACAGCTGGCCATCGCCGGAGGGTGCGGCGGTGGTGAAGAGGCTGATCCCGTGCGCGGCGCCGGCGGTGAGGGAGAGCTTCGCGGTCGTGAAGCTGTCGGAGGATCCCA